GGGGGGGTGTGTGAAACCCCAAACACACCCCAGCAGCAGGCATCCCAGTGCAGTCAGGTGCCTAGGGCCACCAGAGCAGAGCAAGCCAGGAAGTTGATGGAGTTAAAAGTCATTCACCAGCCAAGCACCCCTGGCCAGCCCCTGTGAGAGGCTCCCAAAATCCACCTTGACCTCTGGGTACCAGGGAGGGACTCAGGATGCCACTGTTCAGCCCCAGGCTATTCCTTACCCAGCACAGAAACCCTGGCTGGCTGCAGATAGAGGGGCTGACCTGATTCCACCCCCATCCCAAAATAGTCCCCACAGGGTTAGGGTTACCACAAATGGGAATAAAACAGTTGTCTTGGTGCCCTAGTGTGAGCCAAATGTCAACCCTGCTGTACCCTGAATTCTTCCCCTGGCTGACAGTACTGCAGGAGCCAAGTTCCCCATGGCTCAGGTAGCGTTGTGAGCCATTTTACAGATGAGGAAATGGAGGCACAGCACAGTTGCCAATATTGCCTAGTGCTGCCTGAGATGTGATGGTCTCTAAGGCAGGGCCAGGCATGGGAGATGATGGAAGGTTCCCATTACCACACTGATTTTACAGTTCATGAGAGAGTGTGAGACCCAGCCAGACCCAAAGTTTTGTCCCTTAAACCCCAGGCAAGCAGGCAGAGATACAGGCAGACTGCTTCCCGTGGAGACAGAAGGGGTGTGCCTCCAAAATAGGGGTCTGGTGCAATTCACAGATAAAAGAGGTAATTCCTGTGGCTCTGCATGTAGAGGCAGCGTTTCCCTCTGCCCTCCGAACCCATCCCTTGCTAGAGGCCAGGACTGGCTCTCCCCATCATCCAGACAAGCCATGCTTCTCCACCACCTGTGTCCAGCCCCAGGACAGCACTTCAGGAATGAGACCCTGAGCCATCTTCAGGTCCCACTCATCCTCTGGCTTCACCTCATCTATTGGTTCATAAAATATCTTGCTCCAGGTGTCCAACCTCAGCAGGTCCTTCTCTCCTAGAGGCTGGGCTTACTGTTCAGGCGTGGGGCAGCGACTGTCCAGGGGGGCCCATATGCCCCCGCTGCCTGCCCTGGGCAGGAATCCTGGGCTGGGATGGCTAGGTTGGCTTCAGGCAGGGAACTAAAGCCTGAGAACAAGATATGAAACCACAAGTTTTGCCCACAGTGCCCAAATGGTTCTTCTCCAGCTTGTGTGTGTCTTTTTCCATCTGCTGTGTGCAGCAAGGGGCAATTGGTCCCTGGCCCTGCCCAGCCACTGCTCACAGGGCATCACCCACCAGGGATAGAGGAGGTGGGGGGACAGTCTTGCCTAACAGAAAAACTCAGGCAACCACAGTACACAAAGAAAAAGAAACAAAAAGAAGCATTTCAGAAACGTGGTTACCCTGGGGCACTCCCTGAGACGAGAGATTTGGGATGTATTGTGGGGTCAGGAGAGCAATCACGCTGTTTACATGGGAAATAAACGCAAGAGAGGCTCTGACGTCACAGGGAGATTGTATCAGAGGAGTCCCAATCTCTGTCGCCTCAATTCTGATTTTCCCCACTACCTACCTGCCCAGAACCCCAGGGCAGATAGACCTGTATTTGAGGCTTATGATGTGCGGGCTATTTCAAAAGCTTTTGTAAGCATTTACAGACCAATTTCACCTTGGTTTTCTTCACCAAATTCATGTCCACAGGACATGCTGTCCCCATGGGTAAGTCCTGCAGGGACGGTAAGAGGCGGAGGAGTGTCAGGCTGCAGGGAGACAATTTTCCTCCCAAATTTATGATGACCACCAGGTACCCTGAGCCCTGCAGGGGCAGGCAGGAGTCAGCATCCTCCCCTTTGCCAAGACTCTGTAGTCCAATAAGTGCAATTTCCCCATGATTGACCTAACAGGGCAAAGATCTGGGACTTGTTCCCACAGCCTTCTTGTGCTTGCCAACCTCGGGCACCCTTTGCCCCTACCACAGGGTGCCTAGCCACCTGGAAAGGGTTTGTGTTTGCCAGGGTGCATTTCATAGCTATAGAAACATAGAATGGTTTGGGTTGAAAGGGACCTTAAAGTTCCAAACCCCCTGCCATGGGCAGAGACACCTTCCACTAGCCCAGGTTGCTCACAGCCCCGTCCAACTTCACCTTGAACCCTTCCAGGGAGGGGGCAGCCACAGCTTCTCTGGGCAACCTGTGCCAGCGTCTCACCACCCTCACACTAAATAATTTCTTTCTTACATCTAATCTAAATCTACCCTCTTTCAGTTTAAAACCATTACCCCTTGTCCTATCACTGCACTCTCTGATAAAGTCCCCTTATGAAAGCTCAGCACCCAGATGTTTCTGGAGGAAGATGCGATCTTTGGGCCCCTTGCGCACGGGGCCAGAGCAGACTGTGCTGTACACTACTTACAGGAGGCAGCTCCCTGTGACTTTGCTGCAAACCTCCAGCTCTAGGTGCCCCTCAGCTGCTTTGGGTACCCAGTTCCATCAAGGCCAAAGCGAGGAGGAATGGGGATGTGCCTCCCTGGAAGCTGAGCCCAGCTGGTCGATAAAGGCAGCCTCCAGCTTCCCTCCAAGCTGCTCATATGTTCTTAGAAAAGGCTTTGGAGAAATTAAAAAGCTCAAATGCATCCTTGGGCTGAGGAGAACGAGCTTGTTTTATTCTTGCAAGTACACTCATCTTTTGCATGGGGGAAGTGAGGATCATCCTCATGCAGAATATGTCCCATAAGAAACCATCAGACTCAGCAGAGTCCTCAAGGCTGTGGGACAAGGTGCCTGGCTGAGGAACTCTGATGTGTCCTCATGTCCCCAGGAGCCAGGGAAGCTTCACCATGTCACGAGTGAGAGCTGATCTTAGGCACCCTGTTTTCCAGGTCCTCCATCACCCACCCCCAGCCATTACTCCAAATGCTTTTTGTGATCCCCAGCTCCCACTAGTTCATGATGAAATAAAGCAGGACGAAGAGGAGCACTGCCAGAACACAGAGCAAAGAGCTGCCAATGCAGCAGCAGCACTTCCAGGGGAAGCTGTTATCACAGGGTGAGGAGTGGTGGGTTTGGGTTGCACAGGGCCTCATGCCCTTGTGTTTTGGGGTGCGATGGGTCCTGGCCTTGTCTGCATCCGTCAAGGGCTGACAGACATTTGATGCCGGGGCCAGCTGTGACTTGCTGCAAACACCGAGCTGGCAACCCTCGCAGCGGGCACTGTCATGCGGCCCCACCACCAGCGCATCCACCACAACTTCCATGAGGTCAGAGGTCTGGACGGGCATGTGGTAGAAGTACTTGAGGATCTTTAGCACCAGGTTGTGCAGAAGCCTCTCCACAGTCTCCTGGCTGAACATGGGCTTCTCCAGCCGGGGGTTGGGGCACTGCCTGCATGCCTGGCGAAAGGCTCGCATCCACACCATGCCCTGGCCCTGGTGCTGGCGGCACATGTGGAACAAGATGTGCACTCTGGCTGAAGACCACTGACGAAAGCATTGGGAGCACTGAAACCTGCCAGGGCACAGAGGAGATCAGGTCAACCCAGGCTCCCTGTGCTGGGCTGGCAGCTTTCTGTATAGTCAATAGGAACCAGGACAGCCAGCGCTGATGGCTTAATTTCACTCATGCAAGCTTTGCAATAAACTGTCCTCCCCCTAACAACATGATGCCAGTCTGAGGAGTTCGACAGAGATGTGAACTTAGGGTTAGCCCCAGCATTAAAGATTTTAGGACCCAGGCCGCCTGCTGGGACCACCCTGGTCCCCTTTTCTAGCCCATCCCAGCCCCACTGCCAGGAGCAGCAGTCCTTGGGGTGGGAAGCATCAGGCCCCAGATCTATTTGGGGCTCCAGCCCCTCACCCATACCAGCTCATGACAGCTCAGCAGAAAGCTAATGTCAAACCCAGGGATGGGGAAGTCGAAAACAAGAAAAAAGTAGAAGGAAGGTGTGGGTGGAGGCTGCAGGGCAGGTGAGATGTCTTAAGTTGCTGAAAGGTGTGTAACCCGCAGCTCTTTGTCTTACACAACCTTCATGGGGCCTGGCAGTCAAGATCTCCATTTGCTGCCACCTTGGTTGATGCCCAGGGTCCTGTCTGGGGTGGAAATAGTTAAGATGGGGCCTCTCATCAGAAATGCAGAGCCACAGCCTCTCTCTGCTCCAGGACCCAGCAGCCTGGTGCAGATGCAGGGACTGCTGAGGCATCACCCCATGGTCCCAGCAGACAGCAGCTCTCCCTCTCCTCATCCTCTGAGTGCAAACCCGGAAGATGTAGCGCTAGAGCGGTATAACTACCCTTGCTCGTTGGAGGAGCTCTTTGTAACTTGACGCCAACATGAAGAAATTCTGGCCAAATACCAGCTGCCCTTTGGCCCTGTGGAGGTTCCCACTCCCCTCCCCTCCAAATATTGTGATTTTTTTCAAGTTTGGCAATAACCTACCCAGCTTGGAACAAAATGGGAAAGCCCCTCCCAGCCACACCCACCTCCAAACTGCCTCTTTCATGTCAAAAGCTGTTTCCTACAAGCAAACTTTGAGAAAGGGAGACATCCGCATGTCAGCCCTGGTCCCGCTCCGACAGAGACCAAGCTGGCAGCCTCCTACCTTCCAAGAGCACGGGGCTGCACAAACTCTTTCCAGCCAGGCTTTAGGACATGGACCTGCAGGGTATCATCCTCCTGAAGTGTCCATGGCTCTGTTAAGTGCATATCTGCAATCTTCACCGCAAAAATGTCCTGCCAGATCCTCATGGTCCCACCTAGAGCTGGGGAAGAGGAAGTGACCAAGCTTGCGGGTCAAGCTTGCAGATTCTCAGTGCTGATACAGGTGTACAACTGTCTTCTCCTCCAACTTTTCCTCTTTGCACAATGTCTTTGTGCTTGGAGAGCAGAACCTTTGCTCCTACATAATCAGCACCGCCCCATCCCAATCCTTGCGTCAACAGGCTCTGCTGACGCTGTACCAGGTCCTGGCCGGGTAAAATGTCCCCCAAAGCAAGGACAAGGTGGGTTTCCCTAAGCCCCACACATGAACCCCCAACCCCGCTGAAGCCATGTTCTCATGATGCTGCTCTGTCTGTAGGCAGAGAAGTTGGAAACAAAACCCCCTGCCAGGCTGCCTGTGCCCATCACTATCACAGCTTTGGGGGCGAACCAGCAGAGATTGCACCCAGCATAGAAATAACGGAAGCAAAACCCACTGAAAACGCAGGACTCAGCAGCGGATAAAGCCCCAGGTAGTCTTATCTCTCTTGATAGCTGCCACCAAGCATGGGCTGTTTTTAACAACTTTCAGCCAACTCGAGCAGAAAAAGGCCTGATGTGAAACCGCAGGGTGGAAAGTCAGGGAGGATAGTACCGCACATAAAACCGAAAGAGGTGAGGTGTGCTCTGAGTTGAGAGCACCCAGAGAAGGTATAAACAATGGGGCTGGGGCTGTCTGCAGCCCTCTGCCCCCAGCTCACCCTCTTGGGGTGCACACGTACCCCAGGACAGCCCATGGAGAGTGATGCAGGGTGGGGAGCAGGTTAGATAAGATGCCATATGAAAGAAAACTGATCTTAACTTAGGGGAAGATCTGCAGCTTGATAAAGCAAAGTCAGCTTGCCATGGAAATAAAATAATCTCATTTAGCATGAAGTTTTCAGAGGAGACTCCTGTGCACAGAGAGGTCACAGAAGGCCCCAAAATGCCTGGCCTTGGAGGAAATGTGCTGGGTGGCTGCTGAGGATGAAGCCATCATGGAAAGTTATGGCAGCTTCTTGTGTTGAATACCCAGAGCAGCACTCAGGCACCCAGAAGCAGGGAGGTTTTAATACAAAGACTGTAGGATAGTAAAAGCTGCAGAAAGACAGACCTCTGTTTTAAAAAAAGGGCAGAAGAATCTAGGAATCAGGCTTAAAATAATTCACATTGGTTTGAAATGAAGTATGTCCCTGTGGCAGCTTTTCTGGCTTGACACCCCAAAAGCTCAGGTGTCCCAGGCAGCAGTGCCAGGGACTGGCCCTGCCCTGGAGCTGGCTGAGGATGTAGGTGATGGCATTTGTGGCCTTGCAAGAGGGTCATGGTGGCTTCTGGCAGTACGTGACAGCAGCTGTGAGATCTTAAGGGGCACCAGCACATCAGGCTCATCCTCCAGACCCCAAAAGGGAGGCAGGCTATGTAGATAAGTCCCAGTAACCAGAGGCTGGCAGAGAGCATCCAGTCTTTGCTGCTAGAAGAAAAAATCCATCAAGACATCTGTACCCAGAGCCCTCCAACACCTTCATGATGTGTGCTGCCCCTCCTGTGAGAGAGGGAGGTGACAAGGTCCCAGGGCAGAGCCCATCTTCAGCTTTGAGGTTCTTCCCTACTTTGAAATCCTTCCACCCTTAATTATGCCTTGATGCTACAATCTGGAGCAAAACTAGAAGGAAGAAAAGGTTTCCTGGAAACAGAAGAGCCAAGCGAAGGTATTCAGGATCCCTATTGAGAGCTAGCAAAGCCCTGTCCTTTGGATAGGACCTGAGTCACCCCCTGCCCAACAGCTCTGCCATGGGGACATGAAGTCCCACCTGCACTGGGGCAGTAGCCTGCAAGCAGGATAGTGAAGGAGGGGTCATCCCACCAGTGTTTCTGATGCTCACAGGTGGTGACTGGGGGCATCCCTGGCTGCGGTCTGGTGCGTGGAGAGGGGGAGGGAGCAGCAGATGTCCCTGGCCCCCTCCCACTTCTTTCCCAGAGCACAGGCTCCCATTTCCATAGGTTCATTATAGAAGACCCCTTCACACACCCCACCACAGAGGGGTCTCCAGGGCTGCAAATCTCCCAGCGGAGAAAGCAGGACCTAAGTGGGAGCAGAGCTGTCCTCACAGCTGGCACCCTGCAGTGCCTGGCAGCATGGTGACCAGTGTGACGTGAGGAGCCACCAGCAGCAGAGTGACAAGGATGGGGCCACTCACCCTTCAGCATCTGCCCATCCCCTCTAGACCCTTCTGTTTTAGGGGCTGAGATTTACCCTGGGGGGTGGTGAATGCAGGAAAAACATAAAGGTTTTGATATCTCCCCTTTACTTCTAGGGAAGCCTATTTTGAGGAAGAGAAGCCCCCCAGAGAGGCATCCCTCTCTCCTGGCACTCTCATATTCACCCAGACAAACCAATCACTTCATCTGAGGGATCTGTGGTTTCAGCCCAGCCCTTCCTCCCCAAGGCTGCTGTCTTGGGCCAGAGGGATGCTGCCCACAAGGCAGGCGCTGCTCCCCACGCTGCCCGGCCCAGGGGGTGAAACGCTGCCCCTCGGGCACACTGCTCAATGGGGTCTGGTGGCACCCCTGGCGCAGGCACAGGCCCCTGCCTCCAAAACCCAGCTGTGATGGAAACCAGCCCGCTGCTGCGTCATGGCAACACAACTCAAATCACGACTCACGATGTGCCGAGCCCTCACAGTCACCTCTGAGAAGGAGCCCAGTGCTGGTCCCTCTATTAAAGCCTTTGATTTGCTTTTACTAAAGGGACTTTCCCAGAACAACCTACGGAGCTGAAACTGCTTTGACGTCCTGTTCCACTTCACATACACCTCCCAGCACTGCCCGAGCACCTTGCTGCTTACCAGCACCCACCTGGAAACAAAACCTGCTCCTGCAGGTCCCCCTACAGCCCAGCCTCGGCAGGGACCGGGGATGATTCTTGTCCTGGTCCCAGCACAACCCCACTGGGCTGGCCAGCCCCTGATGGGGACAGACCCTGCCAGTCCTCTCCATCCTGGCATGCTGGTCTTGGCTCCTCCATGGGATGACTGAAGGAGGCAAACACAAGGCACAACCCAAGCGGTAATTTCCCTGTCACTTCTGCACAGCCTGAAATTATTTTTTACTTCAGCTCCCACCCCCAGCTGAGCCACCCAGACGAGAGGAGGAAGGTTCCCCATAGTTCTTTCTCCTCCTCTCCATCTCTCACTGTGTGTCAGTGTCCCTGACCCCCACCCCTCCAACCTAGGGACAAAGTCCCCACACTGCCCATGAGGACCCTGCTTGGTCCACACGTGCCCCATCCCTGCTGGGCTATCCATCCCCTCCCTTTGGGGTCACCCCATACCCAGGTGGATCCATCCTGTAAGCAGTCATGGGAAGGGTCAGAAAGGGACACTCAACCCCAGTCCCCAGGCTGGATCACAGACTGGGACACACCCTCAGCAGTGGGAATGCTGTGTCCACGGACATGGCAAGGCTTGCAAGACAGATGGACTGCCGTCTGAGCAACAGGGCATAACCCTAAACACTTCTCTCTCACTGCTTCCTTCGTACCAGGGTTTTTCTCCCACTCTGAAGACTTCTCTCATCTTTCCTGCTCTAATTATTTTCCATCAGTCATTAGTTCAGGACATTTTCAGGACATTTTTTAATCTTTTCTCCAGGTCATCAAGGTGAATTTGATTTCTAACCCTCCTTCCAGATGGCTCTTAGACCCACCCTCAACAGCGTACTGCCTTCATTTGAGCCATGCTTCCCCAGAAAACCCCTGTTTGATGTGCCTGCCTTCGTGAACTATTGATAATGCTCATGGTATATAGCTTCTTGGGTAGCCATCCACCTACAGTGGCAGAATTTCCCATTTCTCTCATTTGCTTTTGAGAATGTCACATAAGGCAGCACAAAGATGACATCGCTCCCACTTTCCCCGAGGTACCCAGCCCTTCGCCCTAATGAAGAGAAAATGATGTTGATTTGGCACAATGTGTTCCTGCTAAATCTCAGCCCCAGCACTGCCCTCTCAGTATTTACCACTTGGTGGCCTTACTAATTTGTTCCAGTAGTTTTCTGGGTACAGAGGCTGACTCATCTAGAGTTTCCTGGACCCTCTTTTTTCCCCTTCCTTGAAGCAGATGGTGAATTGAGCATCTGTATCTGCCTGGGACACAGCTCCACACCAGTTCTCTGCACCCCTGTCCTCCTCCAACCTTGCTGCTGTGACAGTGAATGGTTGTCACCCTGTCGCAGTGAAACCCACCACCTCTAGGGACAAGTAACGGCTGTAGGTGCCTTCATAGTCAAGCCCTTGGAGTAGAGGAGTCCACCTGTCTCAGGATGGATTTGAGGCAAGAGGGATCAGGTCATCTGGAAATGGGGATGTGCCCAAGCTGGACTGTAGAGAGGGGACATTGCCCCATCACACTGGACTTCTGGGATGGAGGGGGATACTGAACTATGAGGAGAGATTTAAGGGAGGAGGTGGATGTGAAAATGTGGGCAGGTGCCACCCCTCATGGGTTTGGGCTCCCTGTTCATCTGGTGGGCCTCATGATGGTCTCTCCAAGTGTAAGGAGACAGCTCAGCCCCCTCCAACAAGGTTCTGTCCCAGTGCCACAGATGGTGGGTTTGGTCTTGGGGGCGGTGGAGCAGGCAGGCCCAGGGCTCCTGCCTGGCCCTCCGAGCCCCTGCACACCAGGATCTGGCCTGCCTGCATCCTCCTCAAGCAGCACATCCCGCCAAAGGGAGGAAGAGAGAGGAGAAACCCTGGAGACAACTCAAAGCAAAACTAGAGAAAGCAAAATGAGGGCGGTGGGAGGAAATGCAGATGTTCTGCAAGCCTACAGCAGGCTCAGCAACAGGCAGAGCAAGGCTCTTGGTGGGACAGGATGGAAGAGATGCTGGAGGCCTGGGACCTTCAGGACACACCAGGGCTGTGCAAGCTGGCCACGGTTAGGGGTCTGGGCAACCTGTCCAGCAGCCCATCCCTCCCACCACCAACCATGGCACCCACCAGCTACCCCAGCCTGTCTCTTCCAGGACTGGTAGCTGCTTTCCCATAATGGCAATGTTCCCATACCATAGTGCCCAACAGACCCACAGATCACCCCATTAACCCAGGGACCATATAACCCACACACTGCAGCACCTCTAGCCCAACCTCTCCCAAACTGAAACACAGCTCTGGGACCTCCCAGTGACCAGGACAGGGTTCAGTTGTAAGTGACCTTACAATTGCTACATGACCCAACCGCCCCTTCTCCTTCTGGCACCTGCAATGTCCTATTTTGCAAGATGGTGCTTTGCAGCTCTGTGGCACAGCTCTCCTCTAAGACACTGCTGCAAGCATCTGCCTGACCAGTTTTCTCAAGACCTGTTTTTTGGGCTCAGGTTTCTTTGAGGGATGCTTGCTCACATGTTGTTCACAATCACCTTTAATCAAGGCTGGAGTACATAAGGAGCCAGGCTGCATCTTAAGCATCTGTGTAAGGGGTTTTGCTTGCTTAGACATGGTTTGGGCATGCTGAAGTCATATATCCAGCTGACAGGCATCAGTCCCAGCTCTCTGAGGTCTCCCAGTGGCATTTGGCTGTACCCCATCAGCAAGATCCCAGTGTGGGACCAGGGATAAGCTCTGCTCTTCAGAGGTCCCAGCTGGCATGAGATCCCAGGGAGCTGACAAGGGTGCCAAATGCTGACAAAGCATTTTGACAGCCACTCCTCAGGAGAGCTACTGGGTGTCCGTGGTTGGGAGCGTGTGCGGGAAATGCAGAAGCTTCAGTGCCTGCAGCCACCCCCTCAGCTGTACCCGGGTCCTGGCATGGGAGGAGCTGCAGCACAGAGGTGGGGTGGCTGGGTCTGGGGTCTGTGTGTCTGCAGGGGTGCATGTGTATTTGGCACATAGCAGTTGTGAAAATCTGGGAGTGTGCACGCAAATTTGCATGGGGAGTTGTGTGCACATTTGTGTGTTCATGAACATTTGTGTGTGTTTATACATGAGTGTGCATGGCCACGCTGGGGATGCTTGCTCTGGAGTGATACAGGGGAAGAAAAATTGGAACCCTCCCTGTTTGGCTGCCGTGCACTTGTGAGCAGAAAGGATGGGGGAAGGGGCTGTCAGGAGCATCCTCCATCACTCATGACAGTAGGAATGAGGTGGGCAGATCCAAACCTACACCCTGTCCCCTCTGGCCTTTCAGGAGTCATTCCCAGCAATGGCACATCCTGAGAACATGAAATAGTCTGGTTCAAGTGCTATTTAATTTTACAGGGCCTTGTTCTTCTCCCACTTGCACTGCTGTAAACCCCACTTTTACCAAAATGGGATGTTGAAGACCAGACTGAGGCCCTGCTCTTATTCTGTTGGTGGCCATTGACTTTGAGGTGCAGGGATTAGACCCAGCTGCTGCGATGCTACAGGGAAGCGAGGTCAAAAACCAAAGCCAGGTGGTAGAGTCTGTCTAACCACTTTGCAGCAAACCTCCTCTCCACAGCCTAAACCAAAGACCACTGAAACCTGCCACCTACACCCCTCCAGAGCCAGCAAAGTAGCTGCAGCAGAAAGGTTGTACCCCAAAACCACACCGGGCTCATCGCAGCCCAGCCCCTTCTTGGTGCAGGAAAGGAAAGCCAAAGGACTTGAGGGTGTCAGCTTAGTGTGTCGTGTCCCCCCCTGAAAACCTGACACAAACCTTAGCATCTGAGGTGGAAATAATTTGCTTGGGTCCCTGCTTAATTTGGAGTTGAGAAAAGGGGCACAAACCTGCCAGTTGGCACAAATAACAGGCAGTCAGCTGTTACGGGTGCAGTGGTGGGCTGTGGTACAGTGAGGGGCAGGGGCAGGAGGGATGTGGGATGGTGGAGCTGGGAAAGCCAGAACTGGGGACTTCTCAGGACAGGAGGTAAAACAGCTTCCTCCAGATCCCATGCAGTGACTCCAGGAAGACTGAACTACTATCAACACGCTGGAGGGAGCGTCAAAACCATGGGTGGCTGCTCTCCTGGTTTGCACGGAAAGACGAGAGCAGCTCCGGCATGCTAACGTCTCCCCCTCCCCAAGCAGGATGCTGGGGCGCGGGGGCTGACACCCATCTCAGGGCACTGCTTGGTTTGGGGATGCTCAGTGGGGACTTGAAACCTGCATCCTGCCCAGAGCTCATCCCAGCCCTGCTCCTGCTCTGGCCGGCACAGCCAGTGCTATGCCCAGCACAAGTCTCTGCCAGGGCTGGGCACCCTCTTTTCCAAACAGGGAAGGGGGACGGTGCCTGACAGCCTGGGGCATCCCCACCACTCACCCCACACACCCCCAGGCCCCAGCCTTGCGTCCTGCAAGGGGCAGGATTGCAGCCAGGCTGCGGAGGAGACACATCCCACGTGGCAGCAGGGGATGCTCTTGCTACACCTCTGCCCCCACTGGGTGGCTCGGGAACCTCTGACCAGCTGCTGATCGCCATCCACCGAGAGAGGAAGGGACCCAGCCCCGACCACTCCTGGAGGAGCCATGGCTGAAGGCAGGGGGTGCAGGAAGGGCACCTCTGCTGCCCAAGAGGCAGGGTGGAAAATATGAAGCAGGGCCCACCCTCTCGCCGGTGTCGTGTCTGACAGGAAAGTCAAAAGCAAAACTGCTGACTGAGCTTCTGCTTTTCACCCACTGTGGCTGCCTCCTGCCTTGGCTCTCCGGGCAAACTGAGCCTGGTTGGCCATAGCAGATCTCTGTCAGAGCTGCTGGAGCAAGGAGCAGGGCTGCTGCTTGCAAAAAGCCCCTCCAGGCTGTGAGCTGTGCACTGGCATGAGTGAATGTTGTGGGAGTTACAGCACTGCCCATGGTGGCTACTGGGAGCCTTCAGCTGCACTGGGGACTGAAGGAGGCCACCACATTCACTGCCCTGCCCTGAGTAAGGGTGAAAGGCATCCCAGATGGATGTTCTTCCTATCTGGTCCCCTCTGGAGCTTTCTCAGGGATTTTCTAGCCCCCACAGGGGACAAATTGTGATGCCTGGCATGCCTCACCCCTTCTGCCATGGCTGTGCTGGTTTTACTGGGGACAAGGGAAAAAGAAGCCTGCTGACAATACTGCTGAAGTGTGAGATGCAGGTGACTCTTGTCTGTTTCTGCTGGGTTTCATGGTCTCCCAGCATGTCTCTGCTGTCTCCAAAGCCACTCCTTACAGGGATTTCTCTTCTCAAGTAGCTGTCACTCCTTTCTGTTCTGATTTCTGGCAGGCAGCACAATGCCAGCATCACTTTCAAGAGGGAAAATGGAAGTTTTGAGCCAGAAAGCTGCACCAAGCACTGTGCTGTAAGCTTTGCCCAGGCTGATAGCAGCCAGGCCTCTGTCATTACAGGGATGCTCATTCTCAATGGGCTGGGCAGGTGCCCCACGTTGAGCCTGGTGAGGGGAGGCTTGGTGTGCAGCTGCAGCTGGGTGACCAGCTCAGACAGTGGTGAGAGGAAAAAGAGAAGCGCCTTCTCTAAATTATTAAGAGCAGCTTCGTGGAAGAGCAGCTTGCATATTGCACGGAGAGGCCCAGGAACCACAACAGACGCCGCCACCTCCCGGCTCTCGCCTGCGCACTGCCAAGAGCCGTTATTTGCCTGCCCACGCGCTTGCCATCACAAGTCAACAGACTCCCCTGACGTGAAACCCTTTATTCACCCTGCAGGGCCAGATCTGTCTCCCACCTGCGGAGGGAGGGACATGGAAGTAGATTTCCCTTCTTGCAGAGGATAGCACCTGAAGACAGGAGGAAAACCAGCCACCTGCTTCCCAGGGGTTTCTTTAAATAGTGGTACACAGTCTCTGCCCCAGGCAAGGAGAAGCCCTCAGCCCTGGGCTCCTGTGAGCAGCATCTCCCAGGATCCACTCCAGCTCTGGCCTTTGGCATTTCCTCCCACAGTTGTGTTTTGTTAGTTGGGAATCAGCGTGGCCATTCCAGAGAGCCCCGGATGGAGGTAGAAAACCAAGGTATGATGTAAATTGCCTTTGTGACAGACCTGTTAGCATTACTGTTCTTCCCCAACCAGTCCTCCCTGCACTGAGTGAAGAAGCATCACGTGGAGCCCAGCAGGGACCTTCCTCATCCCGTGATACCCATCCCACAGCCACAATCCCACCATGGCCAGGACTGTCCAATATCAACTCCAACAGCAGCCCCTCTGTTGCTCCTGTCCTGGTACACTGGATTTTTCCCAACTGCAAACTGCAGTGGGAGAAAGGGGCCAGAGCAGCCTGTCCCTGCCCACACCCCTCAGCGAGGAGGGACCCCGGCCCTCAGCAGGGCTGTGACTGCATGTGCCAAGCCCTCTCATCCTGGTGTTTCTTTTCTCGTTCTGGTGTGACAGGTTTCTCCTCTGGGAAGACGATGGTGGCGTATTCGGTCTGGTCAGCCAGCCGGGTCTCGGGGGGCACCTGGGCATGCTGCTCCCACTGAAACTCCAGCACACCATAGTCCACAGTAGACACGGACACCATGGGGGGCTTCTCCTCCTTCTGCAAGGAAATCCCGTAGGGACAGTTCATCATCCAGAGGTACCCACCATCCCCAGCACAAGTCCGTTTTTTACAGCAAATATTGAAACCAGCTCTGAAGCATCCCAGGAGGGCAGGAACAGTACAAAGCAGAAAGACAAACAGACCTGGGATAGCATTTGCTCAGAGAAACCAGACCACGAGCCTTGGGGTCACTGCCAAAGCCATGTGGGTCTCAGCTCTCTGCCTCTGCAGGCAGGTTGGGCTCCCTGCCTGCCCAGCTGTAGAAGGCAGGATTGTGCTAGGAGCCCTCTTCCCACCTCTCCACTGGGCTCTGAGCTGGCACGGGTGCACGAGGAGAGCCTCAGGCTGAGTTTGCTCAGCCCATTCAGGGGAGAACAAAGGGGAACCTACTTGCTGCCTTCAGCTACCTAATGGGGTTGGAGAGAAGATGGAGCCAGACTCCTCCCTGTGGTGCCCAGCAAAAGGAAGGGAGGAAACAGGCACTAGCTGCAGCAAAAGAAATTATAGCTTAATGGAGGGGCGGGGGGGGTATGATTTCCTCCAATTTTCTACAGCAATACAACCCACTGTCAAAAATAACCCCGTTTTGAGGAAGGGTTAGACTAAAGAGGTCCCATCCTATCTCAGGCAGTTTTTTTTATTTTTGTGATGGGGCTGTGCTGCAGGTGCAGAAAAGCAGTTGTAGCTGTGCAGAAAAGATCAAGCAGCATCAAGAGAGGAGAAGCGAGAAGCATGTGAAGGGCTGATAAAGGGAGGCCCTGCACTCTTTGCACCCCAGCGATGCCACGATGCTCCCCTACCACATAGCAGGGTGTCAGAGACAGAAAACTCACCGGTGGCGTGTTTACACTTGGTGGATTCTGCACATCTGCGAAGTAACACGTTTGGTTAGTAGATGCTTGTGTGCCAAGACAGAGTGAGCATCTGTGCCTGGGGCCGACTGAGCCCCCACATCCTAGGAGACCACTAGACACCGCAACTATTGCACCACGCTTCTTCCTTCTTCACTCAGGGTCTAACACCCTGAGCATTTACAAGGACAAGGGAGATACCAGCCCAGTCTAGGGATTAACTGGGATTAGTGGGGTACAATTCTTCAGGGGTTCCCTCTGGGAAAGCCCCTCTGGCTGACCACAGCATGGCTGAGGTGATGCCCAAGCTGTGGCGGGGGGATTATGCGGTGCCCCGAAGGTGCTTGGGCAAGGTGCATGTGAGAAACTTGAGTGCAGCATTAAGCCACCATACTAACAAGCAGTGTGGAGCTACAGCATGCAGTCTGGGACTCTACAAAGGGCAAGCAGGGCCCATAGCACCCTCCTCCCCTGGGCATGGAGATACCTGTCCCATGGAGACATGCCACAGCTGAGTTTAACACGTTGAACCAGTCCATGTACCCCAGGAGGCTGCTTCCCCCAAGTTCCAGCTGGGTTTGCTGGGTGAGCATCACTCATCAGGTCCCCTGGCAGACCCCAGCCCCTCAGCACAGCACGGTCCCCACAGGGGATCATACCTCCTCTCCTATATGTGACAGTGAGATAGCCGAATATCAGAAGCACAACGACCCCAGCCAGCAGCAGGATGCCGAGGAGCACAGCCTTGATGTAGTCTGGGGGACTGCCTTCCTCCATCTCAGGCTTATCAGTGGCATTCATCTTCTCAGGGGCTGCTGCAATAGCCATCCAAAAAAGGGGGAACAAAACAGCAGGTCAGGAGTGTAAAATGGCCTCTATAGTCCTTGTGAAATGCAACAGGGGAACATGGGGGCTGTTCCCAGAAAGGGCTCAGTCCCAGGCAGGCTGCCACAAACCCGCCATCCCTCCAGGGGCCCGGAAATTTGGGCTGACATGGGGGACGTTTTGGCCGTGTACCATTCCTTCCCATTGCAGGTGGTGAGGATGATCTCACACCACTGAGAGCTGGGGTGCAGGGGGTCAGGCACCACTCTGCACCCACAGGCAGCCCTGTGGCATGACCCCATGCCCAGCAAAGCCCCATGGAGGACACGGCTTCCCCGAGCCTCCCTGCTGCTTCCATATCCTGGGGCCAGCTCAGCATCAGCCCACATTGGAAAGAAATGTTGTGAAAGACAGTGACTTTTACAGTGTTTCTCCTTTTTATAAAAGGCCACCTTCAGCCCCACAAAGACCCCATGCTGACAAGGCTATGAGACTCTCCCAGAGCATGGTTTTGCAACAGTATCTAGACCAACACTGGCTGTTTGAGGGGTCTGAGACCCAGTCGCCACCCCAAACACTGTCCCTGTCCCCAACAGAGCTGTTCAGGGGTGAAGGCAGTTCCCTGCACTGGTCTCCTGCCTCCATCCATGGGTGAGGACTTGTTCCTCCCCACAGCATCACTGGGGACAACAGCCCCAGCAGGATGGAGACATCCCGCCTCGGGACCAGTTCCAGCTGCAGTGTGGATGGGGGAGGACAACCTGTGCCCCTGGGCCTCAATCCTGCATGCAAAGGCAAGGGAAAAGGGCAGAGCTGTGCTCTCCTGACCCATACCAGGTCCTCCCTCAGCAGAGGACTGCCTGCCTTATGCCCTGGGGCTGCAATGTTCCTGGGGGCTGTAGCACCATGGGACAACACCAACGACCTTCCCCATCAGCTCAGCCCTCAGGCTGACCTGTGACCACCAGGTGGGACCGGTTGCTCTCCATCACTTTATCAGGTTCAAAGAAGGTGATCAGCCCACAGTAGTAGGAGCCTGAGTCATTCTGGTGGAGGTTCAGGATCTCGATCTTGAAGGCTGGAGTGTGGTTGGTGAGCAGATACTTCTCCGTTTTCATTGGGGGTTTGTTCCGGCTGATCTCAGCAATTTTTTGGGCTTGGCTGTGGTTGGTCTCCTTGTACCAATTGAGGCTGTACTCCAAGCCAGAGTCACTCTCCATGGAGATATTGCAGAAGAATGTGGCTGAGCCTCCTGCAGGGACAGTTAACATGGCTGGGAAGAAGGTCACTGTTTGGGAGAGAGGAAGGAACAGACATGGTTACAGCAGGCACAGGTCTCAGAGACACCCGTACCTCCATGCAGGAACCAGGGATGCAAAGAGGGTGAGAGCCTGCCATCGCCCCTGCTAGCACCCCATCCCATGGAGAGGTGATGGGTTCCTATGTCCCAAACCCAGAGGTTCCATGCATGCCTCAGCTGTTTCACTGTCAGCTCCTGAAAGGTCCCTAAAGGGATTTACAAAAACCTGCTGGCGAGTGCTTGCAAACCCAGCCCCATGCCATCGCAGCACACGGCTCACCCACGGCCAGGCTCTGGGGTTTGCCAGCAATGCAGGCAGCCTGATGCTTGGCCAGCCTGCAGCATCACCCCAGATCACAGGGAGGTACATCACATGTCTCTCCCCTCCTGAGTGTGTGCCTGCAGGCCGGAGGGGAATACACAGGGGTAGTAACTCTACCATGAAGTGGTTTCAACAGAGCAAATTGTGCTCTGGGCTACCTAAAATTAACCCAGAACACCTACACCAGGGAAAACAGACTCGGGGGGCTGTATTATTTTTAAATCTATGCTACATTTTAATGTCTGAGTCAGCCTTCCTCCAGCTGACATTGCCTCCAAAAGCGTGCAGAGGGACTGAGTCCTGGGCTGCGGCAGCACCCTGGGTGAAGACCATCGCATGTCCAGCTGCCTGCTGGGGTGCTTCAGCTCTGCCCACTGCTCCATGATGGGAGCACAGAGTGGGCAGGGGCTGCCCAGGGCATGGTATTTGCTATCTCCAGCCTGAGACCATCTGACAGGGCAGAGTGACCTGGAACTTACGATGCCATCTCTTTCCAGCTATCTGTCCCCTTCTCACAGGAGGGGAGGCTGGCAGGCACCCACCCAGGGGATCATGGCTGGGCTTACGAGGCTGCTCCTAGCACAGAGGGCAGCTGGCCATGGCTGCAGTCCCCCTGGCCCTTAGCATGAGCCCTGCTGCTTCAACATATTTCCCTGCCTGTGATCCCAGCGGGTTCATCCTCAGCAGGCAGCGGCGATGCTGCAGACATGGGCCAGGCTCACAACATCCTGGCTCAGCCAGCCCCGTACAACAGGATGAGGCAGCTGCTGCATTAACTGTTGTTTAGAGCAATAAAAAGCAAGAAGAAGCATTTTGCACACAGGTTAGACCAAGCAACACTAACCACCAATGCTTTGAAAAGTCCCTGCCGTTAAGAAATTTATCTTCAGATAGCAGCCCCGGGGCTCGTAGCCAGAGTTAGAATGTCCCTCCAGCCTGAGGCCATAGGACCATGAACTCAGCATCACCAACCAGAAAAGGAACCAGGACAATTCCTTGAATAGATACAGGATTAGGTGGAAAACAGGGCTGAGAGATGAGAGATTAAACCGAACAGGAGGAGGGAGAGAGGGAAGTGCCCAGACTCCTGCAGGCAGAGCTGGCTGCAGCAGTGCCTGCACTGAGAGATGTAAATTTTGTAGTGTTTTCTTGTGTTTAACAGGAAATATTTGGCAGGCTCGGGGCTTTGCTTCCTACCCAGTGGCACTACCAGCAATGAATGAAGTGCTCGGAGGACTCCTGAAAGAAGGGGCTGGGTTTACACGTTTCCCTGCATCTTCTCAGCACCAGAGGTAACATCTGCTCCAAGGGATGTCCAGCCCTGTGCCCACGCTTGGGGCAGAAAACACCTGAAGCTACCAAAGAAAGAGCTAGGCTGGGACGGAGCGGGCACAGGCTTAATCAGGGCTCTCACTCACTTTGCCTGCACTCACCCTCTCCACTCTACCTCCTCTCCTCCACAGAATGTCACCCTGAGCAAAACCGCATGCAGGACCCTGGCTCTGTCAGGGTCAAGTCCAAACCAGGTAGCACAGGCTGAGAGCTCAGCCCAAAGCCATGAAAGCTAGAGCAGAAAACCCCAGATCCTGCATGGCATTCACAAACCCAGAGGCTCAACACCAAACCTCAACCCCAGCCAGTCTGTCCACGAGCCTCCAGTGTCAGCAGTGTGGGCTGGGGACCTGTCTCCTTCCCCATCTTTTAACTCCATTTCTGCCTTGAGCATCCCCATTTCTCTTGCTTCAGCCATGTGTACCCAAAAGCTTTGGGGTTTCTGCCTTCTTGATACCAGAGCTATTTATAACTACAAAGCTCCCAGCCCTTAGACATCTTCCACCGGCTGTGAATGTCACCAGCTCTGCTGGCAAGCGCACCGCGGTCTGGTACCTACCCCGGCGGCAGCTGGCCAGCATGGGGCCACAGCAGAGCAGGATGGTGCAGAGGCCAGTCAGGACCACCTCCACGCTGCCCCACATTGTCTTTGAGGCGCCCAGAGCCATGGCAAAGTGGTCGGTCCCCTGCCCGGGCAGACGTGGTGAGCCGTGCCGTATCGCGCCACCCCCAGCTCTTTCTGTGCTTTCTTCCCCACGTAGCAGCTTGTTCTCCAGCATACGTGGCAGGGGCTGGGGTGGAAATGAAATGTGCCCATCTCTGCCCCAGAGGGAAACCCAGGCTGCCTCCCGCCCCCAGCTTCCTCCCCACAGAGGCAAGGATCAGCTGAGCAGGGTCTGGGCCCTTCCCCTCCCCGCGCGCTCCTGGCCTGCTCTCACGCAGTCACCCAGCTGCCAAGACAAGCAGCACTAAACCTGCACCCTTTTGGGGGAAAGCTCCCAGGGATGGAGCAGGCAGAGACCATGGGGGACGTATCCTCAGCTCCAATCCTGGCCCATAAGTAAAAGCACTGTCTTGGGTTCCCAGGCACCCATGAGTGCTCCAACCAGGTGCCCATGGCAGTGGGGTGTTGGGGGACATGTGGCACTGGGTCACCAGGCAGGGTCTGAGCAGCCATGGGGCACCTATTGGCAGGCTGCTCACATGGGAAAGGGATAGGAGGAAGAAGGAGGAGGAGGAGGAGAGGAAGAAGAAGGGGAAGGGGAAAGAAGGGGAAAGAAGGGGAAGGAGAGAGGAGGAGAAGGAGAAGGAGAAGGAGAAGGAGAAGGAGAAGGAGAAGGAGAAGGAGAAGGAGAAGGAGAAGGAGAAGGAGAAGGGAGAAGTTTTAGCTCCTTAGGTGTGTTTCTCCATAGACAGATTCACAGAAAGAAGGGGCAGGTGCCTAGGGCTGGCGTGCTGTTACTGGGGTGACCTTTGCAGCAGACTTTTTCAACTTCTCCGCCAGCAATGTTCCCCGCTTGCCTCGCTGACTAATACTCGCATAGGAAATAACCAGCGGTGAAAGCACACCACAGCTGGCTCCTCCGCTTCTCTCGAACACAGCCTTGGTGCCCCGCAATTTTAGAAAGCGTCAGGGGAAAATTAATAATTGGGGTGAAGAATGTGATTCTCATGATGATTTCATTATTTTCCGGACTTTCAGAAAGAAGCTGTGGGACTGGGCTTGCTTACATCTCACTTTCAGACACAGCCCTGGCAGGCAAGTGGGCTGGGGGAGTGGGCTGGGGGAGCCACCCCTAATTTGGGATGGCCAAAGAGGGGGTTCTGAGCTGAGGCAGGCAGGGGTCACCCTGGGTTGGTGGCTCAAACCAGTCTGTCCTGAGTCCTCTTTTCCAGTCTCATCCTGGCATTACAGCATCACTCCTTTCTCATGAGCTTCTGGCCCTGCTTGAGTCGCAGAGCAAGCCTGGGGGGCTGTCCCCTCCTTGTCACCTTTCCATACTGCCTGGCCAGAGGCCACCATCTGTCAGAGTGGCAAGGGGAACACTCTTCATGTGCAATGGTGCTGGTGGTCTCCGAGGTGGACATCACCTCTTCCTTCACAATTTCCTGTGTTCTCATTAAAAAAAACCCTAACTGAATTCTAGAAAATATGGACTCTCACAGCGAGGAGGCTTTTCCCCCTTGAGGCTTTGTGTCCCCAGATAGCCACACCAGGCATCCAGATTGAGTGTGGGGAGGCTTGTTTGGCACTTGCAACATGTTTTGGTTTCTAGAGGCGGAAGATGTGATGAGTATCACCACCGAGATCGCAACTCACTGAGCCAGGGATCAGCAGGAAAAACTGGCTCATCCTCCCCGCCTGGCGTGGCAGTACAGGGTTCTGATTAAAATCATAGCACGAATTGCTCAAACTTTCCAACGCATGCTTGAAAAGGGGCCTCAGTTGGTACCTGAGGTGGGGAGGCTGTTGTGTCCACTAGAAACCAGATGGCTAGATGCAGACTGTATGGCAGTGTTTTTGGATGCTCAGGTTCCTTCAGAAACCCATACCCCAGCACTCCCCCCACCGTTCCCCAGCAAGCTGGGGACTGGCATTGACACCAGAGCCTTTCCAGGCTGCATGAGGTGCAGGATGAGGTGGTGTGTGGCCAGGAAGCGCCAAGGGAGCTCACAGAGCTGTGGAGCGTGTAGCAGAAACCACAGGTCCAGCAGAACGCTGAAGGAAAACTTGCTCCACTGCATGAGAGAGAATGGAGGGGCTGTTTCCCCTTTTTGCTGAGAAAAAATTGAAAAGGATGAAAAGAAAAAAAAAAGAAAGGATCAATCTCGCTGCTAGGAAGCTGCTGGGGGGGAAAGCAAGGTGAGCAGTGGTGCTGTGCCCCAGCCCAGCATGTGCCCTGGGTGCTGGCATCACAGAGAAGCCTGGCCCCACAGCAGACCCCGGACCTCAGGAAGGCTTCGCACCCTGCCTGCACCCTGCCAGACCAACACAGCTCCCACCGGCTCTTGCACCAGCTTCTCCAGCACCAAGGAAAACAGCCTGGCTCCAGCCATGCTGTGCCTCCTGCTCATGCTGGTAAACCCCCTCCAGCACAAACAGGGTGGATGGCAGATCTTGGGGTTAGCTGAGAGGGGGTTTGATGCTTAAAAAAAATTAATTCCCTTTCCCTGAGCTGGAGTATGGTGAATTGCATGGGGCAGTCCTATTTGCAAAATAGAGCAAAAAAAGAGCTAAAAAGGAAGGAGAAAGAGAAATGAGGAATAAGTGAGAAAATAGTTTGTTCTTCAAAACTAAGAGCTTCATCAACCACATCACACTACTTCACTGAAGCATAAACGTCCTTTTTGTCCCCAACAAGAAGCTGGCCCAATGTGGCAGTGAGGGTCCCATCAATGCATCTGGGACCCAGATGAAGCCTGGGTTTCCTGCAGCCGTCACACACGTCAGGGCACACAGCTATCACCCTGAGCAGGCACCTCAAAGGACTGGGCATCAGTCCAAAAATGGCTTAGAAGCATCTGGGGTATTTAAGGAGCACTGAATATTTGGAAGATGTGCAAGAAAGCAATGACCAAACACCTCAGATGGAGCCAGCTGAAGCCCAGAGCTGAATGTCCTCAAAACCTAGGGAAAGCAAAGCTTCCCAAATGAGATTTGGAACACAAAATCCCACAAAAAGATGATGAGGAAGAGAAACTCACAGGTTCTCAAAGATCACTTCCTCGCTGGTTTAACAGAATTCACATCTGTGGGTCTGACCCAGGCAGGAGGTGATGTGGCTGGGGCAAAAGAGGAAATGGTTAATAGTATTTGCAAATAAACACAGAGAGCTTTGAGGTCTTTCAGATACTTCTCAGAAATTAGGAAGGCAAACGATTTGCATGAGTAACAACACCTGACCCTGTGGGGAAAGGCAGCGGCCTGAGGGATGAGTAAGCAGCAAGTAAGCAGAGGTATGGGGCCATGAAACTGTTCCTTTAGCAAGTGAAAATCTGCAGGGTCTGTGCAGGGCACTGAAAACTGCAATTCGAAGGTGCCACATGGGTATGGCATGGGGCCACTGCCACATCCATCATGGCAGCAGGGTGCTGCTCCTGCCTGTGGGCAGAGCTGATGCCCAGCCTGGTAGTACTAAGGGCTCTGGTGGATTGTCTCTAGCAAGCAGTGATGCTAAAGCCAGTGAAAATCAGGAGGTGCTGCTGCTGCTCAGGGTCTCAGCAACCCACCTGTGCTCAGAGCAGGTTGGGGCAGGACCTGGAGCCAGTTAGGATGTGTCTGTGCATCCCAAGCAAAACCCCGGCAGAGGTACCTCCTGCCTCCTGGTGTGCAACCTCACAGCCTCCTGCACCTGAGCGGCACCTCCGGACAGCACCCTGCCTGCAGAGCCCCGGTCCTAGGTGCTCCCTATCCCTGCCTCATGCGATGGCCCCCTCCAGCCCCTCTTCCCCAGCAGCAGAACGCTCCACGCCAGCACAGCTGCATCATCGCATTGTTTCCATTCGAAGCGCCCAGGGACCTTTCTCAGCAGCGTCAGCCGATGCACGTAAGAAATGCGATCATGGAGATTGCTGCATCAAGATAAACAGCGGAGGAAGCAGGATGTCAGCTTCTCAGGAAGGGGCTGTGTCATATGCAAGCTGTTGTTTGTCAGCCTTCCTTGGGACAGACAGCATCTGCAGGCAGGGAAAAGAGCACAAGGGTGTGACTGGGGGCAGGATAACAGGGAGTGACAATTTTATGCCTTTCTGGAAGATTTCAGAAGTTCCTGAAGGAAAGAAGCAAGGCTGGGATCTCCATGCTGATGGTTGGGCCATGTGGCCCGGAGGAAGGAAGAAAACACAGGGTCTGGCAGCAACACATGAACAGGAATCGGGGGAATAGGCTTCATAATGGCAATACTCTCAGGCTGCGCTGTCCTCCACCTGCACCCGCTGCCCCGTAGCAGCCAGGTGCTCCCAGCAAGGCTCCGGGACTGGAGTCGGTGCTGGGGGCCGGAACACCAACACGGAGTCCCTCTCGCTGAGGCCAAGGGCTTGCAAAAACATCTCTGAGCACAGGGACCCCCTCCCTGCCCTGCTGGCACCCAGACTGCACAGGCGCCTTGTCCGCAGCCGCTCCAGCCCATGGGGCACGGGGCAAGGCAGCAGGCGGGGGCTCGGGCTGCAGCTGCCCCATGATTTGGGGTGAGTCGAGGGCACCGGAGAAGCGCCCAGCACCTGAAGCCACCGTCCCCACCAAGGAGCCCCTCTAGCTCCCCATCGGTCCTCCTGCCACGCTCACCTCCCCCACAACGGGCTCATCTGCACTTACAGTTAGAACTATGATAGCACCGATTTAGCACTTATTTACCATTTATTTTATTGCATTAAAATTTTAATTGTAAAAACACACACACACCCCCGTGCGCCCGCACCCCCGCGTCGCGGTGCTGAGCTCACGGACACGTGCCAGCCCCCGCGCCGCGAGAGGCGGGGCGGGGCGCCGTG